GGCTAAAAGGCAGTAACATATTAAGCTTCTCATAAGTCTTCTTAAATTCCATAAAATAATTCGTAAGAGACTTATCTTGTTGCTCTGCACGGTAGAATGCTTTGCACACTTCAAACATGCGTGAAAGGTTTCCTTTACCAGAATACAAGAAATCCATATAATCCATCAACTCTTTAACAAACTCGCGGTGATTGATCAATCCAATTACCTCGCCATCAATGGAATTTCGAATTTGCAGGAATAAACGAGCATCTTCCCCAAGCCACGTATGCTTGGAATCATCTGTAGGAGGATCGTCAGCCAAATGAGTATCTTTGTCAATAATCCGTAGATAAAGTCGAACAATCTTACTCCAATCCAAATAATTCAAACCATTAAGTTTATGGTCCGTGATTTTGGACATCACAGAGATCATATCCAACCCAACAATAGATTTCTTTTCAACCATAACTTCGAAGCAGAGATACAAGGCAATAAACCCGAGAAGGCCCAACAAGCCCAACAATCAAATTAATCACAAATAACTTAGACCCAATAAAATCCAAGTTCAAACACAATTGTATTCATCCAAGTCCAACTACTTGAGCCCAAATAAATATATATCTGGCCCAACAACCAATAACTAATTAAACCACCAAATATCTAGCCCAACAAATCACCAACCCAGTCCACCTCACAGACCAAAAGAAAACCCAAACCAATCACGGCCCAAACCAATTTCACGTCATCTTCTCCACATTTCACCACAGAGATTCAATCACCACACCCAATTGCCCACTGGAGCAGTCCACCTTCAACCGTATCACAAATCCCTCCAAAAAATTTCGCAACAGATGACCTTAAGTTTCTCAATCGACATTCGCGAACTAATCCCGTCTCCGATACCGCGAAACGAGAGGCCCCCAACACTGGGCACGCCAGAATCTGCAAATTTTATAAAGATGCCAACAAAAGTGAACGGCGGCACAGACTCGATAGAAAATTAAAGGCTACCCAGATGAAGTGATTTGCCAAGTGAGTCCCAAAACCAAGAATTGAGTCTTCGTGTAGAAGCCCAAGACCAATTGCTAACCAGAAGAGTCCTCTTAGGTTGATGGCTCTGATACCATGTGAATAGAGGAAAGATTGGAAAATATTCTCTTCTTATTCTCTAATTGGAAACACCTCACTTCAAACAAATATTTGAGCATCCAAACCAAATATTTAAAAAGAGACCTAATAACACGATAATGGTCAAAATACAAAGTTTTGCATACCTCATAAGTTACTGTGCCACAGGACATTGCTTGTTGACAAAGGGTGACATCGCGGATGGCACCATTAGCACATAGAACACAAACAGTGCGTGGTCCTTGCTGTGAGAAAGCCATTATCTTTGAAGCTACATTCTGCAAAGAAGTTAAGTAGGTCACCAAACAAGAAGATGAAGTTAAGAAAGTTTTCTCAATGCATAATTGTAAAATGGAAAATTTGAAAAGGTTAACCACAGAAAGAGAGAAACTATTTTAAACAAGTCAAAACAAACATTAATCAAGCGAGAACCATGCAAATAAATACCAATATTGGTTTAGACAGCCAAACACTGATGCAGTTGCCACTTTCCAGCTTTGGTTGCAGACACAGGGTAGGCTAAATGTGAATCTAAACCATAGTATATTTCACAAAAAAATAACCTTCCAAACAAGAATCAAGTATATAACCAAGTGATTTCAACGATCTCAACTATCTCATTTTTAACAATTAATTCTTTCATATCCGATTCTTAAAAATAAACATGTACATCACATGTTTCAGCTAATAATGATCCCATGTTGCTTTCTTATGCAATCATATTCAGTTTTGGCTCACGTGTAGGAAGAGCAGAGGAAGGTTCGAAGTGGGTAATCTCAAGTTGGAAATTCGAGCATTGACACGAAAATGGCATTGGAGATTTCCTTCAGAACTATTCTCTTTATGGTATGAACCCAAATGGATGGGATTCTATCACGACGCTCTCTTAGAAACCCTTGGAAGTTTATTTTTTTGTTTATTCAGTTTACAAAATGGGACATGGACAAGATTTATGGGAAGATCTCTGAAGGGATCGGAGCTCCTTGGTTTAGTCCTTTCCAAGGTCGTAATTCTTGACCCAAAAAAATGGTCCCATCGATGCTGTTCGACTTCTAATAACAATTCCACTTCTTGAAATTTCAACTTTCATCAATATTTAAGGGATACTTTCATCAGTGATATCAAATGGAAAGCTGTGGAGTTCCTATTTCTTAGGTAGTCAGGATTCTACATCAAAGGAGTTTAAGATCTTCCTTATTTTTAATTTTAAATGCTTTCGGTTGAAAGAGTGTGAAGTGTTCTTGATTCTAGTTTTAAACCTGTTTTTCTAATATTTTAAGAGGATATGTTATCTTGATTCTTGATCAAGTATTTTTACGTCATGATTAATAAAATGATGTTTGTTATATTGACTTCAATCACATGCCACAAAGTTAAACCATTATCAAAATTTTCATTTTCTCGGAACTTCTTTTACGTATTATTTTCCTTAGATATATAACTTTGATAGGACTGAAAGTTCAAAAGACATTTGGAATCTGCTAAAGTTGTTCAGCTACAGATGGAACCTCTTTATTCAGCTGTAAAACAGATACTTGACAGTGTTAAGAAACATGAAAGGAACAAGTGCTAACTGCTAACTTTTCAATGAAAATCTAGCAGTTAGCTATCAGAGTAGAAACAAATTTTTCTGAAATCATTCTCAAAGCATCCAGTGGAGCAAGCCATCGGACACATTAGAAAGCTTTTGGCATATTCTTAACTACGTAATAGAACCCTAGCCTTTCTACAATCCACAACGAAAACATTATCAAGAGCCATTTACAAATGAAATGGAACAGATTGTGGATTTCAAAACCACTCAGTTTGAGTTCAAGTCAGAAGACAGACACTATTACCAATCATACTCTAAATCTAGCTTGTACATACTTTCTGAATCCTAGCATATTTGAATAGTGAAAATTGTTGAAGATTCTAGAATCAATTCCAAGTTGGCATACTTCCATATAAGTATTGACAGGAACGTGTTTCCTAGAATAGAATTATACTATGCAGATTTGTATACCTAAATTAAAGCATTCCATGTATATTTGTTGGCTATTTATTCCCTTAATATTGTAAGGATGATATGAATGAATTTGATACCGAAATTCTAACTTGGTATCAGAGCGGGTTGAAGAAAACCCACCAGGAACATATGGCTACCAATTCTGAATCTTCTGTCCTTGAACCATCAACTCCCGTAATCCACATTCAATCTGAAAATTCTGGCTTCCATGCCGGAGTTGTCCTCACTGAAAGAAACTATGATGTGTGGTCTCAAATACTAGAGATGCAAATCGCCGGACAAGAGAAGCTCGATTATATTATTGGCAAAACAAATCCACCAAAAGAAACTGATACTTCCTACACGAAATGGTATGCAGAGAACCAAAAGGTCAAGAGCTGGTTGCTGACCTCCATGTCACCGGAAATAATGAAATGTTATCTGAGATTGCGTACCGCAAGAGATATTTGGAGTGCTCTTGCCAAATCTTTCTACGATGGATCGGACGAGACACAGATTTTTGCACTAAATCAGCGTGCATTCACTACTAAACAAGCTGGCCGATCTCTGTCAATGTACTACGGTGAGCTGGTTGAAATTTTCCAAGAGTTAGACTATCGTGATAAGGTCGTAATGAAGGATCCCGATGATATTATCTCCTATAAAAAATCTGTTGCAAGGTTGAGAGTACACATATTTCTCAGTGGACTGGATGCTGAATTTGAACAAATTAGAGAAGTTCTGCAGAAGGATCCCCCGATGGACCTCGATGACACCTATGCTTATGTCCGTAGAGATGCTGTCCGCTGAACCACCTTAAGTACTGAACCTGATGAATCTGAATCATCTGCTCTAATGGTCCAATGCACTAAGCCTCAGCTCCGACAATTTACTCCAAAATCTGATTCTGATCAAGCTCGATTCCAGAAGGGCAGCTATGAAATTGGAGCAGGAACCGGTGCTGCCAAAGCTGGAACTGGAATGGGGTCTACTAAATCTGAACGGATGTGCACTCATTGTGGTGAGACTGGGCATACAAAGACAGTAAGGCACGGTGTTTTGAGCTAATTCAATATCGAGATTGGTTCCAGCAAAGGCACCACGCAAGCGCAACCCAAAACCAAACCACCAAGCCTCCGTTGCCGTAACCAATTCCTCCAATGATGTTGCAGAAGCTTCTCCCTTGATTGCCACTTCAGGTAACATTGGTAAGGTTCTCCATACTTCTGCATCAGTTAGTAGTAATAGTAATACATGAATAATTGATTCCAGCACAACGGATCACATGACTTTTGACAATCAATATGTTAAGTCAATGAAACAAACAAAAACAAATATAGTCTCTACAGCTAATGGCAATCTCTCACCTGTGATTGGAGAATGTTCAATTCCTTTGTCACATAATTTAAACCTTGATTCTGTTTTAGTTGTACCTTCCCTCAATCATAATTCATTATCTTGTGTTGTGATTTTCTGGCCTAATCTTTGTGTTTTTAAGGGCATTTGAACCCGGAAGACGATTGGTTGCGGTACTAGAAAGGGGAAACTGTACTCTGTGGATCTGAAACCTACTAGCTTACATCAATTGACTCAAGCTCTTCAACAAATCAGATTGACAAGTCCTCCGAAATTTGGCTGTGGCACAGGCGATTAGGTCATGTATCTTTTGGATATTTAAAAATATTGTTTCCAGCGTTATTTTCTCAGTTAAACACTTCAGATTTCAAATGTGATGTTTGTGAACTTGCAAAAAGTCACCGTGTATCATTTCCATCAAGCATAAATAAAAGTACGGTACCGTCTATGTTAATTCACTCTGATGTATGGGGGCCAGCCAAGAACCCCTCCTTGAATGGTTCTCATTGGTTTGTGTATGACTTCGGTTTTTGCACGATGAAATCAAAGAATGAAGTTACCTCATTGTTTCAGAAATTTCATAGGATGATCGCCACTCAATATCAATCTCGCATACAAGTCCTTCGCACTGACAATGGTGGGGAATTTGTTAACCATAACCTGACGAAGTACTTATTGGAACATGGCATATCTCACCAGACAACTTGCCCTTATACCCCCAAACAAAATGGGGTTGTGGAACGCAAGAACCGTCACCTCCTTGAAGTCGTTCGGGCCACCTTATTTGGCGCTCACATGCCCACTAGCTACTGGGGAGAAGCGCTCGGTGTTGCAGCATACCTCATTAATCGTATACCCTCAAGCTCGCTGAATTTTCAAGTTCCCTTTGAAGTCCTTCATTCAACCATAAGTGTTCCTACTGCTCCGAACTTACCACCTAAAAGTTTTGGATGTGTGGCATTTGTACATCTTCCCAAGCCGTTGCGTGATAAATTGGAACCACGAGCCCTGCGATGTGTTTTTGTTGGCTATGCCTCACTTCAGAAGGGCTACTGCTGTTATCACCCCCCATCACGAAAGTTGTATGTGACCCTCGATGTCGTCTTTCATGAAAATGACATGTACTATGTCGCTCCTAAGTTTTCAATTCAAGGGGGAGAGACGAAATGAATTGCAGACTCTAAATCTAATTCCTCCCTTGAACCATTCGGATAATACAAGTAGTCAAGTCGTGGATAAAAGTGCCACTTCAAGTACCATCTAACCAATCAATTCTCCTGATGAATCCCAGGTATATCCTGAACCTCAATTCCTTCCAAAAGTACTACCTAATCGAGCTACTAGAGGTATACCTAGAGTTAACTATGAACCAATTCTTAGTTCTGATCCTAAGTATCCTATGAACAACTATGTATCCTACCATAGACTGTCAAAGGAAAGTGTGTCATTTGCAAATCAATTATCCACTGTGTCCATTCCTACTAACATGCAGGAAGCTCTGGGAGATCCTAGGTGGAAGGAAGCTATGAATGAGGAAATGAAGTCACTTCAAAACAACTCAACTTGGGAAGTTGTTGAGCTACCTAAAGGGAAGAAACCAGTTGGATGTAGGTGGGTTTTCGCAGTCAAATACAAGGCAGATGGAATTATTGAAAGATTCAAAGCTAGACTAGTCGCAAAAGGGATACATTCAAACTTATGGAATTGACTACATGGAGACATTTGCACCGGTAGCAAAAATAATACTATTCGAATTCTTATATCACTGGCTGTAATGCCCCGAAAATTTTTATAGAATATAATTTAAATTCTATGTGCTATATCTTGATGTTTTGAAAGTTAGGGACCAAATGATATATAGCGAATTTCAAATTTATTTGGGTCACACTTAGATTTTGACTGAGTAATGATAAATATATCAATATTGGTCTCGTTGGATAGAGGGTAATTAAATACATTATTTAGACTCGAGAAACAGTCGATTCGAATTAGTCAGCGCCAAGATATTTCAATTCGAAGAAATTGTTAGAAAACTATTTTTCTATTATTATTATTTTAATTAGAACCTTGAATGTAAAGGTAGTGCCACCACGTGTATGGTAATGTATTGCACTTGAGAGGTTTGGCTAGTTGACACGTGAATGAATCATATATTGGTAAGACTTAGTCTAAGAAAATAAAAACCAATTCTGTTTCCTCCACTTTATCCATTTTATCATATCATACACGTTTCCAGCTACGTGCCAACTCTTGCAAATCTAGTTTTTATTCCCTATGTATATAGATGTATGGAAAACACACAAAATAAACTTTCAAAGCACAAAAGCCGAGGCAAAAAAGAAAGAAAAAAAGAGGAACGTGATTTCTTTATCTTGTCTTCCAAATTAAAGCAAGTTTAACAAAGTATGAAAAGAGGTGCAATTGTTTATCCCGTTTAATTTTATTTCTTCATGTTGATGAATTTCATGCTTATGAAAGTTAAAGATATGATATGATAATTCATGATATGATGTTATGGCCATTCCGGTACAAATGATATGATATGATATGATATGAGCTCTTATCGGTTTCTAAAAATATGATGACGGTATGATTTTTCTTGACGCATGATTTGAATAATATTATTCGGGATTACACCAAATGTTTATATCCTACTGAGAAGGACCATGCTATGTGTACATAGCATGGTACATAGGGGTGTACATAATGTGAGGGGTGGGGCCCGCGCTGCTGTCTCACATTATGTACACCCTTATTTGTATTGCTATGTACACATAGCAATATTCTATTGAGTATTCCCATATACTCACCATTTTTCCTACATCTCACAGGTTAGATCGGGTCGTTGGGCGGCGGGCGATGAGGTGCGGTCGTGGTGCCAGATACTTGGAATTAATAAATCGAATCCTGTGTAACGTGCCTTGAATTTTAATTTTAGCAGAAATCTTATTTTATCAATTTATTGAACTAGTTTATTTTATTTGAAATTTGGAACAGATTTATTTGGACATGTAACTTCATATGATGATTTGGAAATTTTAACTTGCTTATGATATTTGATGTCTACCTTGCTATTTGCTCTTTCTGCATAAGTAGTTACGTCAAATTTTTATTGAGGGAAGAGAAGGACTTAACTTTATACATATCGTCGTACTATTCAAATATGCATTAAATAGAATTTTATTATTATAACAATTCATGATCCATTTGTCTTTATGTGTATGTGTACGTATATGTAGAATTTTGATTTTGCACATATTAATTGAATTTGACCAGTAGTAAATTTAGAGGAAAACGCCACATCAATTTGTCTGCCAACCAGTAAAATTTTAATATAAATTCTCTCCTGATTTTAACCAAGCAGTGAGTAATTTGACTATCAAGTTGGACCATTGTATTATTGTCAGAATATACTTGACAATAACTTAAGAGTGCTAGAACTTCAATAAAGAATTTCATTTATTTTTATCATTCCGCATTTTTTAAAAAAAAGTAGAGTTTCCTTTGACACTCCAGATTGATGAAAATTTGGGGCGTTACACTGGCAGTGAATTTTGACTTGCCATTGCACCAGTTTAATGTGAAGAATGCTTTTTTGCATGGAGACCCCTTCAAGAGGAAGTATACATGGAGTTACCACCCAGATGTAATATAGAATCAAAAGGTGGAGGACATGTTTGCAAATTAAAAAAGGCCCTATACGGTCTGAAACAATCTCCGAGAGCTTGGTTTGGAAGGTTTACGAAGTCAATGAAAACTTTTGGATACAAGTAGAGTAACTCAGATCATACCCT